TATTTATTTTGGTAGCTATTGTAAATGGTATTGATTTCCTTATTTCTTTTTCAGCAATCTCTTTGCTGGTGTAGAGGAATCCAACTGATTTTGGATGTTGATCTTGTATCCTGCCATGATGCTAAATCTCTCAAATCAGTTCCAGCCGATTTTTTTTACTGAGTGTTTTGGGTTTTCTGAGTATAGCATCATATCCTCAGCCAATAGGGATAGTTTGACTTCTTCCTTATCAAATTGGATGCCTTTGATTTCCCATTCTTGCCTTATTGCCCTGGCTAGGACATTCAAATCAATGATGAATAGAAGTGGTGATAGAGGGCATCCTTGTCTGGTTCCTGTTCACAAGAGGAATGGTTTCTGTCTCTCTCCATTGAGAATAATGTTGGCTGTTGGTTTTGCATATATGCCTTTATTATGTTGAGGAATATCCCTTCTGTTCCTATTTTGCTGAGAGTTTTGATCAGAAATGGATGTTGGATTTCATCGACTGCCTTTTCTGCATCGACTGATATGATCATGTGGTTCTTTTCCTTTGTTTTATTTACGTAGTAAATGACATTGATTGTTTTTCTAATGTTGAACCATCCTTGCATATCTGCTATGAACCCCACCTGGTCATAATGAGTTATTTTCTTGATATATTCTTGGAGTCTATTGGCTAGGATTTTTCTTTTTTTTTTAATTGTGATTTGGGTGAAAGTTTATAGAGCAAATTCACTTTCCATACAGCAGTTCACATACATGTTGTCTCATGACATTGACAGTTTACCCCAATGCAACACCTCCCCTCACACTTCCTCCTGATAGTTACCTCTTCCCTTAATCCATCCTCTATGCACTCCTGCCCCCTGAAATGTCTCCCTGTGCTTAAACAGCCCTTCTTTCTCCCATGATTGTCCTCTCCAAGGAATGTATCTACCTCAGGTACATGTTCAATTCTTATGCCTCTTTTCTTTGGCTGGAAGCCACAGGTGTGAGTTCAATTCTAGACCTAAAGGGCAGCTAGGGACCATAGTCTCAGTGGTTCCACCAGGGTCTATCAGACCAGCAAACCTGATCTCCTTTTTTTTTCCCCCAAATGATTTTGAGTTTTGTTCCACATTGTTCTCCTTCTCTATCCAGGATCTCCTACATAGATCCCCCTCTGAGTGGTTGACAGTGGTAGCCAAGCACCATCTAGTTCTTCTGGTCTCATAGTCGTATAAGGTGAAGATTGCAATGTGTACCAGTCATGAGGACTAATTGTTTCCATGAATCTTTGGTTTTCTTCATTCTTCTTTGCTCTGGATGAGGAGAGACCCATCATTGCATCTAGATGGCT